CCTTATGGAACCTGTATTTTGGAAGGGAAAAGAAAGTAGCTATAGCTTTTGCTAATAAATAAAAATGCATAAGTAGAGAATAAATTATACCTCTAATTTTTCAATTCCTTATCTATTCATAACAAATACAGCCAGGCATGGTGGTACATGCCTGTAATCCCAGCACTCTGGAGGCTGAGGCAGGAGGATTGTTATGAGTTAGAGACCAGCCAGGGCTATAAACTGAGCTTAAGGCCAGCCTGAACTGCAGAGTGAGACCCTATCTCAAAATGACAAAACAAAACAAAACAAAAAAACAAGTACACACATCTATGCATAAGTTTTCTTTTTTGGTACTGGGAATCAAACTCAAGACCTTGTGCTTGCCAGGCAGGTGCTTGTGTCCTGGAGCTATAAACCCTGCCCTGAATATGTATTTTTTCTCTGGTCTGAATATGTATTTTTATAGTACAGTAGGTAGCTAAGAAGACAGTAGGAGGCTTTGAAACCAGTAGTGCTACATACTACTAATATATCTTATCAGCTAAGACTTCAGGTCTACTAGAAAAGTCTCCTATTTTACATGTTTTACAAAAAACTATCTAGAATCCCTGAAATGATCTCAAAAAGGAAGCTTTTCATCCAGTTATATGTTCATATAGTATGCAGTAGATGATTGATACCTGGAGCTTTGATATCAGCCAGTGGAATCTGATAACACTTGTACAATTTACTGGATTTGTGACCTTGGAAAGATCAATTCTCTGAAATTTGATCATTTCTTTTATATAAAATTTGAAGAAAATTATACACTTTCCAAGTTTTGGTCAAAGCTCAAGATGATATTTCTAAAGCACTCATTACATTGTCTAGCACCTATGTGAGGTCCACTGTATTTCAGTTGGAATTTTTGACACTCTGTATAGGCTATAAAGTAAATTGTACTGATCTTCTTGGCAAAAGAAGTATTACTGTAAAGTGTTTTTAATATTTCTAAATGCCATTTGCAACTATTCAAGAAACTTTAAATAAAACAAAGCAGTCTGTAGGACAGCTATTATTACACTCATTTTTACTTGTATTTATTTATTTTTTTAAGACCCAGAGAGAGTTGTCTAAATTGTACAAGTTAGTAACTAAACTTGGGACCAGGTCTAATCTGTGACATCTCCTCTGTTTTATCTTTATCCCCCTAATGATAAGACCTTATTTAATTCATAAGAAGCTCGGATTGTATGCGTGAAGTTTTCAACAAACTGAGACATTTTGGAAGTGCCAGTAATAAAGGTAGGCTAAGATATAAATAATATTCTGTAGTATCGCCCCCTCGTTAGTCCAGTCTTTCTGTTTGAGGCTGTATTTGGTTTGATATCCGTTTTTTCCATAAAGACTGTAGAAATAAAACTGTATGAGGCTCCCTGATGAGATGAAAAGATGTATGAGCTCTGCTATCAAAGTGAATCTATATAGTGAGTCTATATAGTCAAAGGACAAATCTGCTAAAATGTCTAGCAGCTAATGTAGGGAAAAGAGCACCATTAGAAGCTTCCCTTCCTGCTAGAGTCACATGAATATCTCTACCTTCTGGAGATAGTAGATCAGCCTAAAAGGCTAAAGAAACAGCAATCTGCCTTTAAGCAATCACTTAACCCTACTCTAGCAGATCATTAACTGGAGAGAATCTTTTTTAAAGAAGAAAAAAAAAAGCGGATAGAAATGAGATCCAGAAAATGTTTCTGGGTGGTAGTGTGCTAAAGTCCAGATGGAAATTTAGCATTAATTTGGCTAACACTATTTTAGTCACAGCACATTTTCAACTATTTATTTTTATACTGAGTCTCTCCTAGTAAGGTGGGTATCGAATGGAAATATTTTTTCTAAGGTGGCATTTCAAATAATAACAATAATAATAAAATCCTGGATCATGAACAACTTTTCCATGAGATGCATAAGGAAGCAAAACAGGGACCTTGAAGGAGCCTATATTTTTGCTAATTTAATCAGTGCGAGTAAATGACATCTTTCCATTTTTTTATTAAAAGTTTGTTTTCCTAGCCTTTTTCAATGATTGGCTTCAACTCTGAGATGCTCATGTCTTTAGAGTTGTTACTCAAATACAAATGCAATCCTTCTAATTTATACGATTAAGAAAGGAGAGCTGCAGTCTGAGAGGTGAATTTTATCTATGCCATGGTTACATATACAGAAAATTGATTTTCCAACCATACCAAATGATAAAGTCCATCTTTGATATATTCCTGTCCCCTGCTTTCCAGGTCTTAAGGCATCTGATCTCAGGTCAGCTCCCCTTGGAGTGTAATTCAGAACACAGTCCTTTCCTTTTAGAGGTCTCATGCCACAGGGCATGGGTATATTTTCTTTGGCTGAGACAGAGCTTATGAAAGAAATTATTTTGCTGCCTAACTGACAGACCTGGGCATGGGGTACAGAGAAATGGAGCCTCTCCCAGTGGCCCTTTGCCTGGAATTTGTCCTAAAAGCATGAAACTGAGCAGGATTTGTAGCAGACAGATGTGAATAATATATGCACCACCTTTCCATCCAGGTGTCTGTTTGCACGAGCATGAAAAACTGCAGGATTTTAAAGGTGGCCCTAGCTGATGCTGAAGCTCTGAACTCTTGGGAAAAACTGGTTGCAGATTAGATTGGGAAACTGATCGTGGGTGAATCTACTTGACTAAACCAAAAGGAATCTGCTAAGGGGACCATGGCTGCTGAAACAAATTTCTGAGGGTAGTAATATAAAGTTGTTTAGTGAGCAATGAAAAGTACAGATGATATAAACTGAGACAGTAGTCAAGTATGATACTGTTGCTTCCTCAGAACTTTACGTGAAAATTGGGTCTACTCAGGAGGCCATTCCATTCGTTCAAATTCCTAGTGTCGCCATCAAACTAAAAAATGGGGAAGAACTAACTGATACAACACCTAAAATGTAGAATTATTGAACAGCCCAAACCTTTGTCTTCTTTTTTTGTTGTTGTTCTGTTTTTGTTTTAGACCAGTTTCAAGGAATTGTGTAGTGAAAAGCACCCCTTTGTCAGTAATATGCTCCTCTGCAATTTTAATTTTGACAGAACTGTGAAACTTATGCATACGAAGAGGGGATGGCCAGTGTGACCTCTAGCTTACCTTTCTAGTCTCACACAGTACAGTATCGATGCACCTGACTAGTTCTTCACAGAAAGCCCCAAATTGGTGAGTGTCCAAAGTAGCCCTCGGCATGTCCATTACCTGAAGTTTAGTAGTTTGAAAGAAATAATTGTTATTGATTGTGTTTGAAAATGCTCATGAATTCATCCATGAAGAAGTGAAGCTGGAGGTGGAACCTAGGAATTCGGATGAACGCTTTCATACTCTGACTCATGCGTTTTACTGAAGCCAAGAACTGCCTTCCTGAAAATTCCCACCACAGCATCAAGCTCAGTTCTCTGCTCACAGTTTGGCCAACTGTGACCCTCAGGCCAAGTCAAGACTGAAACCACCTGTTTTTATAAGAGCAAAAGTTAAAAACAGTCTTCTTTGTACTTTTTCCTCTATATTTTTAAATAGTTCAAGAATTCCAAAGGGGAATAATATTGTGTAATATGAGAAAAATACACGAAATTCCAATTTCAGTATCTTGTACATGAAATTTTATTGGAATACAGCTACACATATTTGCTTACTGTTATCTATGGCGGCTTTCACACTGTAATGACTGACCTGAATAATAGCCTCGGACACTGTGGGTCTGGCAAAGCTGAAAATACTTCCCATCTATCTCACTATGGAAAAGTTCCCAATCCCTAACTTACAGGAAGGGAATGAATAGCCAGAGATATTATGAAAGAATGAAAGGAGAAAGAAGTATGAAGAAAAACATCCTAGAGGACAAAAATAATCATGAGCACTCTAATTCCAGTAAAATGAGTGATATTTGTTTATTTATAATACTGTTAGTATTTTTCAAGTACAGTATAGAACATCTTATATCCAGGCAAAACAATTTGTGATGTTACATTAAGATAAATCTGGGCTAGGGATTTAGCTCAGCGGCAAAAGCGCCTGCCTGGCAAGTGCAAGGTCGTGAGTTCGGTTCCTGGTACCAGAGAAACAAAAAAAAAAAAAAAAAAAAAAAAGATAAATCTCATAGACTCTTCTACTGGAGGACAGTGAGGCTCAGAAATGCTCAGTGGTTTAGCAAGTCACACAGCTAGTTAGCTGCTTGATTAAGAATAAAATCCAGATCGTTAGAGTTCATCCCAGCAAACGAACTTATACGGCCACACAGGAGTATGTTGAAGGGGAAAGGCCACTTTGGGAAAATGGAATCCAAGCTTTACTAAGACTAAGATTTTCACTCTTTCTGAAAAATGTGCTTAATATTTTGAGTTACTACATTACTGAAGGTATTAGTTTTATTAAACATGGCGTGCACACCACACTCATATACACACGAGCAAGTACACATAAAACATTTGTGTGGTCTTCTAAGACTATTAACAATAACGAAGCACTGACGCCCAAACCATTTAGCTTAGACAATACTGTTTTCAGTATGTACACCAGTGCTCAGTAATTGTGACCATGTTGTTAAATTCTGTGTGGTGTAAAACAGGAAATGCCATAATGCCCAGATCTCAAGATTTATATCTGACAACAAATGATCAGGAATCAAATTAAAAATAAAAAATGGACTGAATAACCTATATACCTAGCAAACTCCACCAGCATCAAAAACCGTAATCCTTGATCCGTATGTCTGATGCAAAGGCAGCCAACAAATGCAGCCCCTGTCTCTCCCACCTCAGCAATCACCATCAGCCACAAATCCACAGCAGCTGATACGATTTAGTGGCACAGGAAGAGACAAACATGTGCAAAAGCAAACCCTGAAAGTCAATTGGATTACAGAGTGGAGACTTTTGTGATAAAGGAGGACTTAGTTTTACAGCTTAGTTGAGTGGGGGTGGGGAGAAAAAAAAACTAAAGAAGAAAAATCACCCTGGGTCTCTTTGCTTAAGTTATTTTGCAGATTTATTGAAGCATGCACGTGGTAGAAAATGACTTCCAGAAGCCAGAATTTCAGCTAAGCGAGGCTGTGGTGGCCAGCCCTCACGCACAAATACAGCCTCATGCTCTGAGGTAATGTGAGGTAACTGTTTACAGTCAGGGAAGACTTGACAATGTTAACTGCAGACACTGCAGGCCTCAGCTGAGCTGGCATCACGCTCCTGGATTCTCTGGTCTGATTAGCGGTTTGTGAAGTATAACACATCTTGCCAGGCATGTTTGCATTTGGGTCAAGCCATTTCTACAGAGTAAAAAGAAGTGAAGAGATATTACGGAAACACACACACACAATCTACACATGCCTATGTGATGAACTATTTTAAGTGATTGTGACATTTCAATTGGTTAAGGCCTTCTTCGTGGGAAAGATGGCATAAAAAGTTTTCTCATAGCTCTTTGCTGTGGTTCATATTTTCTGCAGAATATTAATCTTGCTTGCTGGTAACAGGGAATATTTTATTACATGCTGATATCCTGATAAGGGTAAGTAACTTCACTAATTTTTAAGTAACTCCTTAATATGCTGCTAAAATACTGAAGGAATACATCTCAAACATGCCAGAAGGTTTCAGAAAAAAAAGCTCACCAATTTCTTTATATCCCTTCATCAATTTGATCTGTTCACAGGTAGATTAATTAGTTTAGGTAGAAATACCCACAATTTAATTCATAAAATAGCAAAATTAATGGTCAACAATCCACCAAAAATAGAATCAAGTGCATTGTTTTCTAGATGGTTCTGTTAAAGGGAAAGAGCTGTTTATACAGTTTCATGATACCTTTCTTTGTGATGCTGTGGATGATATTTTCCTCCTGTGGAATGTCTCACCACCTAGTACTCCTGGCAAGTTGGATAGTAGCAAAGTCTTTGTGTTTTGTATGAGTTTTTCTTCCCTATTAATTTATAATATTCTTGAAGTACGAGACTGTGGAGCATTTTTGTACCATCTATGGCAAAATATCATCCACAGATTTGTTACTCTAAAAATAAAAAATAAGAATGAATTTAAAAAGTAATGATTGGCAGGCAGTGTTTTCCATTTCACTGGGTTTGTCCACTGTTGGTCACTCCAGGGATTCACACATAACACGGCACAATCCATGCCCTCAAATGATTCAGGAGAAAGATATTATGACATGAGTATTTTAATCTAATATAAAACATAACATACCTTACTACAAAAGCCAAACAAACTATGGTGGTATCAAAAGAGAAGGTCATTTTATTTTTTTTATTTTATTATTTTATTTTATTTTCTCCTTATTGACTACATATTTTTTAGTCAGGCACTGAGAAATCATCAATTAATGATAATATTAGCTGTCACTTCTGTAGTGTCACTTCTGTAGTGTTACATGCCATATGCCAGCCTCTGTATATTATCGGCATTAATTCATTAAAGCTTCATAATAATTGATAAGTCATCTATTACTAGTATCTCTACCTAACAATGAGAAAACTGAGGAACAGGGATGTCATGCAACTAATTCAATGTCACACAGTTAAATAATTAATGGAGCTTGAATTTGACTCCAGGTACTCCCGCACTTCCTGTTAACCCAAATACTCTTTTTCACTTAACCTTGTCCTCTCGGAGCTTTTGATCAAGAACAGGGATTGAAAATATTTTTCCACAAAAGGCCAGGTAGCAAATATACCTAGCTCTATGAGTCGGATCATCTCTGTCACACCTCAACTCTTCTATTACACCACTAAGACCTCCATTGGCAAGGAATAAGCAAGTGGGTGTGTTTGTGCTCAGGCACAACTACTTGTACTTGTATAGGCAATCATCTGGTTGAATTTGGTCTACAGCCTGTATTTTTTGGTCACTAATCTTGAAGGAGAGTTGTAGATGTGAAAAAGAACACGCAAGGATTGTACCTGTGATAAGTACAAGGCCAATAGTGGAGTGAGTGAGGAGTGGCCTAGGAAAAATGGAAGCTAGGTAGACAATGTTCAGACACATCCTCCTGGAGTGGTAGCCTTGAAATAGGATTTGAATGGTGACAGGGCTCCAACCAGGGAAAGAGAGGCTAAGAAAACCCAACCATGATGGACAGAACAGTAAGCTGAAGCCATTGGGAGGCTAGGAAACATTGAGGTGACACCTTCTGAGTCAGCAATATCCAGAGAGGACAGAGCAGCAGTGTCCTCAGGAAAGACCAAAGTCACTGGAGTCTTGTCAACCCAAGAGTGATGGTCCCAAGAGCTCAGGGAAACTCCCACAGACTCTCAGCAGAGATGACTGACAAGGTAAATCATAGACATTATCGAGGGATGATGTAGCCTTGGAGCTGAGCCTGGAGAATGGGTAGATTCTCAGTGAATGGAGGGATTAGGATGCAGGAATTTCAGTTTGATTGGAATCTATACTGTATATTTATTGAAAGGCTAAGACAGGGTATATCACATTTTAAAATTTATAATATAAAATATATCTATTGATGTTCCATCCTCAAGTGTAAGATTTATCATTTACAATTCTACTTATTTTGCCAACAAGAGGAAGGTTATACTATTATAAGAATTGAGGCAAAAATACACATATGTTATTCAAGATATTCTAGAGTTGATTAAGAGCAGAGGCAATCATACTTATACTGTTATCTCTCTAAGGGAGTTCAAATAACTGCAGTCAACCTTAGCATATCATATAGTTTCTCTGTACCTCAGAGTGGAACATTATAAAGATATCTATTTGGGAAAATTAAAATGAGGAAAAAGGATGATTTGGATAATATAAAATAAGCTATAATAAAAGTTAGCCACATTCATGAAGAGAAAATTATAAAATTACATAATTATCTTTAAGATGAAAGGTATTGGATCCATCTCTACATGTACACACAATTCACAGATGCACACATATATAATTTTTAAAAATTAAAAACAGAGCAAGTCATTGTGTGCAAAATGAAGCATGTTCTAAAGATTTTTTAGAGCTGCAGAATTTCAAAGAAGGGCAAAGTGAAGAAAAGTATCTAGAGCGAGAGTCTTTTGAGTTTGCCTGCTGTGGTTATGGGCTTTCAAAACACAGCCATCAGATGCTTTCTTACAGTCTAGCTCATTCCAAATGATCTGAATAGCAGTAAAGAGGCCAGGGTAGTAAGAGTTTCAGATCTATATTCAGATGGTATTTGGGAATCAGCTCACCTCAGATGTATCTTAAACTGACCAGGATTTGTCAGACTGACCAAGAAATACATAATTTAGGATTTGTAAATTTGAGCAAGGGCCAATAGAATCCAATCACCACAGTGTTTATTATTAGCAAGTAATTCAATCTAGGACAAGTTATACTGGGACTACGCAAATCTATGTCATCTGTAATTATAATAAAATAGTGTAGTATAATATACTATCATCTATAATTACAAAGGGTAAGACATGGGGGAAAAGCCTTAATATTTAGTAATGACAGAAAGCTCAGTAGCATAATGAGATTTCACATAAAGTACTTACCAACATTTCATCTGAGACAGAAAATACACTAGCAAAGTGGTCTGATGTTTGCAAATAAATGTACATAGGTCCTAGAGGAATAACTCTCTTTCTTGATAGATTTTTATTACAGAATAATCTGAGGAACTGTAGCATTCAGATGGATTGGACTAAACTTCAAGAATTGCACTAAAGTAGATCTGTGTTATAAAATGGAATAAAAGCAATCACATTGAATTAATTTTATTTTTTAACGTGTACTTTGAGAATGGCATGTATTACAAAGTAGAAACTGGAGACTAATTCTTGTTGAGTGTGTGTTTTGAAGCCTGTGAAATAAATACATAAGGAAAATTACCACGAGTTGTGAAAATCATTTTCTCCATTTCAACCAGGAGATTTGTTCTTTAAAATGATAATGTGGTGTTAAAAGTTTGATTGCAAAATGGCCGTGCTCTGGGGGCAGCTCCTGTTCTGCCTTTGTGGTTTTTACTGATATAAATTTGATATTTTACAAATGCAGAATATGAAATATATTCCTAACATGTGTTTCATGCACTTATAATGCAGCAAAATGAAAAACAGCATAGGCTTGGAACATTTCTTGGCTGTATGCTTAATGTACTATATCTGGAACATGTTAAATGTTATTATAGAAATAATTGAAACATTTCATACAGTTTCATGCAGTGACTTTTGCGTGGTAAATTCATACTCCCTTCTTCTGTGATAAAGGACTCTATATGACCAATACACAAATGTTTCCCTTAGAATCAGGATCAAGGATGTGGCATTTCCTTTAGCATCTAACATTAGGTAAACTTTGGAGGTATTTCAGGTTTAATTTTGCCAAAGGAAGAGATTCAAGGAAGAAAGTTTCTCTAAAAATGAATTATGAAAAAACATAAACAAGAATTCTACTTAAAATATTATATCTTACTTCATTTAAATTCATTCTCATTTTCCCTCCCTGTGTTCTTGGGGAATATTTTTGCTTACCCTACATGCGTCAGTCTTTTCACAGAGATAAGCTGTAAATATTTAATCATCGAAATTTAACTCCTGCTTTAACTTTCCACAGTGAGTGTTACAGTTTAATGCAATTTATGGTTTCACTTTAAGCACATCAGAAGATTCTCAATTCCTATGAAGAATTTAGAACTGAATGACCTCAAGAATTGATCATTTTTTTGCCTTTTAATTAGAAGTTGTATTGTCTGAAGTAGTTGCTAGTTACTATCAAAAGACTTACGGAATCTGAAAGTGTTAGAAAACAATTTATTATTCCAACTTAATATTTTAATTTGTTCTGAGAAGTGAATGCTGTTATTTATAGATCAATTGAAAACTACTTAGTATATGTTTTATTCTTCTCATGACAAATGATATCATTTATTTATTGAAAACCAACTTTTACCACCGAAGGAGGGTGTGGGCCCAAGTATAGTATCTTCTTTACTGCTGTGGTTCTCAAAGTGGGTTCCCTACAGAAACACCAGCAACTTCAAGAGGGAACTTGTCAGAAATGCAAGTTCACAGGTCCCACAAGAGATCTACTATAAGAGAAATACAGTGTAGTATTCCATGCTTTAATAAGTCTTCCAAGCTATTCTTTTTGTTTTGGTTTGGTTTTGGTTTTGATTTATTTCCGGTACTGGGAATTGAACTCATGACCTTGCGCTTGCCAGGCAGGCTCTGTACCACTGAGCTAAATCCCCAGCCCCCCTCCAAGTGATTCTTGAGCATGATTAAATTTATTTTTTTTCAATCTGGAGATTGCAGGGCTCTAGCACTGAGCAAAATCTCCCTTCTTTAAATATATTCTCATTTGAAACAGAGTCTTAAGTTATTAAATTGCCCAAGCTTAACGTGAACTTAGGATCGTACTGCCTCAGTCTCTGAAGTGTGTACTGCCCCTCCTGGCTTACGATAGGATACAATTTGAGAACCCTGTCTTGAGAAGGATGTATATATACATTTTATCATCTACTGAGATGATGACTTTTGATGTCCTGCTAAGAGCCTTTGTCTAATTACAGTCTCTGGTAGGTTGGAGGGAAAAGAGTAGAGGGACACACACACACACACACACACACACACACGCACACACACACACACACAAACCAGATAAAGACTTTCTTTTCCCAGTTTCATTTAAGTAAAGGTATGACCTAAGATAATTAAGTCTCTCCAGAAGTAGAAATTTCATTTCCCATTTAATGGATGAACCCTATCTAAGCCACTGAAAATGTGATAGAGTTTGTGAAAAAGTGAGGACTTCTGTTATTAAGCCACTCTTCAGATCACATTCTCATCTTTGTTTTATTTTCTTGATTCATGTGCTAAAACATTACCTTTGGAAACATACAGGGTAAAGTTTCCTTTCCGTTGAATATTCAATAAATTATGAGCCTTCAGTGTAATGATATGCATTTAACTTAATGCCCTTTAAAAAAAACCTCCCTTCACATTTATATTAATGAGTGTTTTCAGTAGTTATGAGTCTGAACTATGCTCTTCCATAGAAGTTCCCTCATAAATTAGCATTAATTGATGTCCAGTTTTTGGAAAATGTTAGCACACATTATTTATGGCACGTTCTGCTCGTGTGGTGCCTGTTAATGTGAAAAAACAGTTTTCAAAGGAGGTTCAAATGCTGTTTCTTTTGCTTGCAAAATGGTGAAAGCCATGGTCTTTGTGTGCTTGGCAAACCCGCAGCAGTATTTCTGGCTGAATTGTATGGAATGGGTTGGAAATCAAGGGTGAATTTGAGCTCAGTTTTGGTGCAGCAATTCTTTCCACGTTCACCTTAAGCCTACGTCGACCTTAGAACATATCCATCCAGTGACAGAGCCATAGCCCTCCGACTTTCATAAGAACACTTTTCATCCAGAAGGAAGCAACATCTCAGAAAAGTTACCATCACTGGTGCTATTCCTAATTATGAGAAAAACATGTAAGTGAACAAATATATACTCAGCTTCAATATTCATGACCTATCTAGAGGCATATATCTATGTGCACTATTTGTACTCTTCCATGTGTCCAAGAAGTCTAGAAGGATCTTCTTTCATCCTTTTTCCTTTCCTTCTTTCCTCCCTCCCTCCTTCCCTCCCTCCCTCCTTCCCTCCCTCTCTTCCTTTCTTCTTTCCTTCCTTCTTTCCACCCTCCCTCCCTCTCTTCCTTCCTTCCTTCCTTCCTTCCTTCCTTCCTTCCTTCCTTTCTTCCTTCTTTCCTTCCTTTCTCTTTCAATGGTGTCTTCCTGTATATCCCAGGTTAGTCTCAAACTCTCATTGAATCCTTCTGCCCCAGCTACTCCAGGTATGGGATTACACACGATCTAGCACAAAAAAATATTTTTAATAATGCTTCCATGTCCAGCTTTGAAGGAATTTTAGATAGCAAGGTGCCATTAAAAATTATTGTATTGATTTTTTTAACTCTACAATGAAAAAATGCTCTAGGATATGAAGCATAAATGTTCCAAAGCATGTCTTTTTCTTCATGTTAAACACCTTGAAATAATGTGTTTTGAAAAAAAAAAAAAAAAAAAAAAAA